GCAAAGCAGAAATGCCATTAAGGTTGGCACATCGAAGTAGAAGTCATGCAAGGTAATAAAAATTACTTTGCGTTATATGTTTGTATTCTTTTATTCGTACATTGCTAGTAGAAGAGCGGAAATGCTAAATTTCATCAGTAGAAATGTTGCAGCTTCAAATGCATCACCAACACTTTGCCAAATGTTGAAACCTGTGCTAAACTTGTTGCCGACATATTTTTCTTCTTTCAACGTTAATGTTCTGCTTCTTCATTTTGTACTTGTGCAAAATTGTGCACATGGCTTGTGCAGTACTTTAAGCACAGTAATACAGAATCAGTCAAGCATAACTGCTATTCATTATCCGGTTACGGAAATCTGTCACTTTGGCCGTGGGCACAGCTGAAGCGCAATGGCTCTTCTCTATTTATTTCCCTTCCGACTTTTACCCCCATCAAATCCCTTTGTGCCTAGCTTTGGTAGCATCGCTGCCGATTGAGTTTCGCAAGACCCAAATCATCACATTATTTTTAAGCCGCATAATCAAGCATTCCAGAATTTGAATGCATCTCCACCCGCATCTTGATTTGCCTGTGGTTAAACGTAGCATTTGAGGTAGTCAGCGGACTGACTCCGGTGAGAGGTCAATCAAAATGGGCGAACGCAAATACATAATCTTTCTTTAGCAATCATAATGGTGAAAATGGATACCATGCGAGGAATAGAAATAGGCCTTATTGTCCAAATGGAAATGATGGGTAGGTTGAGGACTGCCAAGTAAATTAAATAGCCTTATTTTATGTGAATATTGGTAGTGTAGGCAGTTGTAAACTAAGCCAGAGTTTGGCCGTCTCGTTCTGTTTACTCCGTTTGAGACCTACAATGGGAGAAAACGGCTAATGAGGCACGAATGCACACGTCATTGTGGTAATACACAAGTACGATTTTGCTATACTAGTTAAGTATTTCCTTTGGCTTACCACCTTATTACGCCTGTGCCTCAGTGCACACAGGCTTTTTTTCCCAGTCGCGACATGGCTCTGTTTTAAGCTGACGTCCTAGCAACCTGTGATTGGTACACGAAATGCTCTCCTTGACGAGCACCATCCACTCATTAGCAGTAGGAATCCTGCACATTTCCTTCTCTACTATACATTTTGCACAGACGACGCAGATGCAGATGTAACGAGATATTACAAAGCAAACGTTTGCTTTTGCTTTCATCACTTGCTGCTCATGTTTCCATGGCTGCGTTACTCGTAGCATTGCCCCTCCATCGGCGCACACGAAGCCGATTTCGGTAGTCTGTTTCCACTCCTACGTTGTGTTCCTCAATTTGCCTAAACCAGATATGGGAAGGCATTGACACAGAGGCAGAGCAAACAAAAGAGAATGGACAATGGATTGGGTGTAGTGGGAAATGCGTATTTATTGTGCTAGTCATAATTTACTGGCAAATATGTTGGAATCGGCTTCACTATAGCTCACAATATTTGCTAATTGTGTGAAATTATCAGTGCAAATAATGCTAATTGCAAATAGGTAGCAGCTAAGGCAAATGAAGTTGTTAACGAGGCTGGAGTCAGCTCTGATAATGGTGATGACGGTGGTGGGAACGTTACGATTGATATCACACAATCGAGCACGGGATGAAGTAAGGTAAATTATACCTCAGTAGTTGACCGTGATTTCCTGTGAGACAACTCATGTTGTCCATCAGCTTATGCGACTTTCCAGTGGTTCTCTGCCCATTCCCTCCATTTATTCAGTGGCGAAGACGAGGGTCGGTCAGCGTTTCTTGACAAAGTAAAAGCGATGCTCGCGAAAGCTGCCTGATCCACCATATCTACTAAAGCCACTGCAGCATCAGTTTGTGCCATCCCCTTTGGTTTGACCTGAACTCTTCGCATGGAAGATGCCACTACTTTGCACGTATTTGTGTCAAAAAATGCAGTTATGTGGTTGCGATTATATCCACTGCCTGGAGAATTTTTTCCCTTACTTTGCATCACCCTCATTTACGCGAATCTATCAACCTCACGTGACATTTTAAACCTTTACAGGGGCAGCAAGTCAGTTCAGGTGATTTGATGTTCTCGTGTCTCGCAGATTGGCTTCCTTGTTATCCCTTTCTCTGGTCTCGAATGTTTTATCAACAGGACTTGAAATCCTTTTGAAGGACTTGTGTCTATGGCTGGATTGACCAGAACATAGACGGAGGTAATGTAGGACTTGGGAGTTTCTTGCAGATGCTTTTGCTGCTTTACGCATAATTGCTCCTCGAAGGTGTAGTCGGGTAATCACGATTATATCTACTTACCATAAAAAGTTTCGTCCTACTTGGCTTGAAC